GTATTTATTTTTATACGCCTTTGCATAGATCGAAACTCCTTGAAATCGCTAGAAAAAGAGAGCTAATAACAGCTATTTTTGTCACCTTCCAAGAGCCATCCATACTGAGCATCCTTACTGAAACCCAACGATCGGATTTAATTTCCCGCAGTTGCGAGATATACAGATAACAATATATCACTTTTTAGATTTAAATTGTTTTCTACAATTTATTCTCCGTTCGGCGCTACCGAACGTGCGTTGTAACTAGATCCACGAACAACTGACACTTTGCAGAAAAAGACCCATCCATTTCGTTCACCGATGTAATAGAGTTACAGCGATTCAGCGAAATATCTGTATATCCCACACGACGGTCGATCCGGGAATTCTCGAATTATCGTATGTAAAATACATCCATATATTCGCTTGTGAATGCATTTGGATCTCTCGGCACGTCCGTGCGCGCGAAGATTGCTGATGCAAGAACGCGAAAGACTCACTGAGCAATATCGATGAAATTTCGGACGAATTAGGAATGAAATTAGATTTGCGAAGGATTGTTGTCGGAATTATATATAACGCTAAGTTTGCAACATAAATATCTCTTGCGATGTAATTATCATCTTGACAGAAAACAGATTGTATTCGCGCACCTTGGAAAGTATTTCCACTGCGTGGAAGTATTTCCACATTAAGTGTAATTCTTTGGAAGGATGTTGTATGCGATGTCTTTTGACAGTTAACTTTGTACATTGAAAAGTAGGACTAAGAGTTACATTTCTTGTTTTACAAACCGCTGTTTATATCTTAATTCTTTCATTCAACAAAAGTATTCAAAATTAAAGAAGACTTTTTTAGAATTTTTATTATTTTTTAAATTTCTGATATCTGATCCTGCTATATTCCTAGATTCACCGATGCTTCTCATCCCATCGTAGGTCAGCATCCCTCCTGACGTGAGCTTGCAGCGTATCTCGGGGAGCCACAAGCGTGCCCTCCGAAAGGCCCACATTCCCCGCCGAGCGTATCCGAGTGCGATTTATGCGACTGGAAAATACCTCTCTCGGAAGCTGAGGCTGACTACAACCATTATTTGTTCTAGTTCGCCGTCGTCGCGGCGCATAGCCGCCCGATTT